TCTGCTTCACATTCAGCATCAGCTGTTATTGCTATCAATCCAAGCCAACTACAGTGGCCAACATCTGAGAGGAGTACAACTAAAATGAAATGCAGGGTTCCCACACCTTAAACATTTCACAGACTAGGGCAGCCTATTGTTGGGGGTTTTCTGATAACGATGCCAAAACAATACTTTTAATACAGTACCAGTGCCTAAATGGTGCCTAAACTGATACTTTTTTCCAAAATATAACACCGAACGACAATCTGCCACTTGAAAGAACAGCCTTGTTTGAAATGCAAAGGAAAATTTGAACTTGAAATTAAATACTATATTACTGGTTCACTAAGATATATGAATATGAATTAATACAAAAAACTATAAACAAATTTACATAACACATTTATGTAAAAAAATAAAAACAATAAGCTAACACTAAATAACAGTTACAGTACTAATAACAGTAAAATAAGGTTTGAGTTAGGATCAGCAATTCACTTCCTGTCTCAGTTGAAACTCAGCAGCCAGACATTCCTCATTATCCGTTTAGGAGTGGCTGAGATTGACACTACTGAGAACAGCTGATACGCCTTATAACAGTCCACCTCAGAGGAACCTGGTCAGTTTCTAATGTGAGGCTGACTTTGCTCACTAACTTCAGGGCCAACCCCCCATCACTTAAATCAGCAGGTGGCCAGCAAAACATAGTAACTTGTCTTGGGTCTTGAGGAGTTGCAGCATTTATTCACTGACAAATAGTCTAAACTGTATACACACTGCACTGCGACGTTTAACTTCATACTCCTTGCTCCACTCACAGCAGCTTCACTGTCATATGTCAACTTCATACACACACTCTCTATCTCTCTCCAAAATAAGGCACTGAAATCCATGTCATGATTTGGTCCGGTAGGTACTACTCCTATAGGGTTTTGGTACTCAACCCCATCAAAGACAATTCAATGACTTTTCAAGGACTTTCCAGGTCCAATTCCCTCAAATTTAAGGACTTGACAAGGTACTTGTCAAAAGTTAATTAATGTTACAACACTAAGAATTTTCATAAGTAGAAAGAGCAATGAATAAAAAAAGAGAGTGGTGCTTCAATGTGTCAAAACTTTTCAACTGTGCTGTGTCACAGTGATGGCAGACAGTTAAAAACCCCCCACAAAACTTTAACTTCTATTCTTGTGCAAAAATATTGATTCAAGCACCTTTAATGATCCATGTTTATTTATGTCTATTTTCAACAATTTGAGGGTCTTTTTTTCCCACCAAATTCACAAATTTTCAAGGGTTTCCAGGACCTTTGGGAACCCTGTAAACAGCATTTCATTTTTGTCTGCTACAGCAAACATATCTTCCCTGTCCATCAAATGTCCTGTGATCTCATTTAAAAAAGCAAAGACAAAAAAAATCACGGACCTAACCGGAGGAATTTGAATTTAATATGTTTTGGATTTCATGATGTTGCTCCCTTGTTTTGCATTAATTTGTCAGAATACCATTAGGTTATTGTCTGCATCTAAGGAATCAATCAAATCTTTGCATAAAGATCATAAAGTAATGTTAATGTTCATATTAGGTTTCAGACATAAACACACATCTTGTCCCGCTTGTTGAATAAGCAACAATACAAACATTCACCAGGAAAAAGAACAATGCTAGCATCAGTTTGCAGATTAGATAGCTCATTAGCGGCTGAGCTGACATTCATCGGCATATAAAGTTTGGTTACACGCTGGTTTAGTCCTTACTCTTCAAAATCGCTGACAACATGCTGTCTACCCACGACTTGTTGACTACACTGAAAGTTTGTTTACTTTGTCTTTTGTTTTCCTGCCAGAGGTTAGCCTGCTAGCTACTGCCAATCAAACACAGAAACACTGCTGAGATGAAAAGGAACATTTCTGATATCTCCCAAAAGACCTTTCATCCTTTTAATAATGAATCAACAACACATTAACAAAACACAACAACTGAAGAAAGATGTGATGAAATGTGACTTCAGTTGGACTTTGAAGCCTCGATGCTGTGAGTTTATGATACTTAAAAGATTTGTGATGAGGTACCCCTTTAAGAGCTGAGGGCGCTGTCCGTGGTGCTGATCTGACTTGACATTATACAGCGGACACAAACAAACTCCTATGAAATGATTTGATGTTCTTGTTGGTATTTCTGCCAGAAGAGTAACCAGGTACAACCAAACACCAGGCTAACATGACATATCACCATAATCCACCTGTGTGCACCCAACAGAAGCGCTGTGCTCTCTACAGACTGCTTAGTTTTGAGAATCGCTGCTGGAGAGACAACACCAGTGAACTTCCCTGAGTTTAAAATAGCAGTGTGTCAAGTTTATGCAGTCAGTTTTCAAATGTCTGTCTAGCTTATTATCTTATGCCCTTGGGTCCTCTTTGTCTGTGGTTACACTCACAGCTAAGACTGAAGTGAATTCCAAACTTTTGACGGCTTTTTAACTCACAGATGTCCTTCGTAAAACCGAACACTTTCCCAGTGACAAGTGGAAAAAGGGACAGTTTACCATCTTAACATGTTCTCCTCAGTGGTTCATTTTCAATCTACTGTTGCATTATATTTTAACTGCAAAGCTCTGAAGTTACTGTTGAGAACAGCAACAAGCTTTCATGAACTGGTTGGAGCTATTTAATCTCTAGTGGGGCCGAAAAAAACTCCTGTTTTTGCTTAAATGTCAGATCATAACTGAAAACCAATGGGCCTACTGGATTTTTTGCAGCATAAGTTTAACCTCTGCAGCCTCAAACTTTATTGAGGAACGTTATTTAAACGTACTTTCTCTTTTCAAATTAGAATTCATAGTCCATATATCATGCTTGTACAACGTTTCAGAATTCATAATCCATACATCGTGGTTTTCAGCTTGATGTATGGCTTATATCTCCATGCTATTTCCATAAGCTTCCAATACATTTGCATTCTGTGGCTGCTGGGAAACCTCATTATGCTCTGACAGTGCCTTCCACATCTTAATGAGTTGGGCTAACATCCATTTGCATCCATATCTGGGAAGACCTTCCTTCGATCCATTTACCTAAACTCTAATTACTCTGTCCCATTTCTAGGTGATATTTCTAGCTTAAACTCCTCAACTGTTTGCCCCCAAATATTCTTGCTCTCTACAGATCCACTAAAATAAAAGTCTTGTGTTGATGGTAGCACTTCCCTCCTCAAATTTTCCAGTAAAATCCCAATTGTTGACTGGATTCGTATATCCTAGGAAGCCTGTTTTTTTTTTTACATGATCTCCAAACCCTTCCAATTACATGCTAACTGTTTCATCAGTGATAGCATTTATATTTTCCCCTTTAGCAGTCTGACCTCCCCCAGGTCCTCTTACTGGTCCTCAGCTGAAGCCCAGTCCTGCCATGACTACATAATACCTGGATACTAGTGGGTACCCTGGCATGTTTCTAACTTTTCAAACAAACTTGAAACGCATCAACTGGCTTCTGAAGATAAGAATCCATACATACAGTATATGCAGAGTATCTACAGGATTTCAAAATGTTATACTATGCTCCCCAGAATTTAAATCAACACGATTAAAAAACATACTAAACATATGCAGGAGTATTCAGTCATTCTCTAAGGCTGGAAATTAAATTAATTTTATGAGTTTAAATTAATTTCTCCTGAGACCTGTAAAGGACCTGTGTATTATACTCTGGACCTGCCGATAACAACTTGCTCCTGGAACACCTCTCTCAGTGAATAATACATGGCTGATAACCAGAAAGGGACCAGGGGACCTGATGCTACTGTTAGTGTGTGTGTATGTGCGTGCGTGTTTGTGTAGGTGTTATACTGAGGTCTCCCAACATGACAGCATCCCATGAGATGAGCCAATCAGCAGTTATAACCTGGTTTCCTAGGTTACAGCCTTCTCAGTCACTCCCAGCAGACATATATATCCAGGATGGTGCTTGTTGGGAAACCTCACTCTGTGTGTGTCTGTGTGTGTTTTTATATTATACAAATAGTGAATTTCCAAACTGCAGTATATAACTAAAAATAAAATCTTGTTTACTATGATACGTTATCACTGCCTTACATTTAAAATGCATTTATGTTCGCTTTATTATTTCTTCTCATGCCCACAAAGTTTGTTTTGTAAACATCTATTAAAACTAAACACATTTTATTAATTTTGGGCTTTTCTGCACAGCTGGGAGCTGTAACTTTGTGTGGCAGCGACACACTGGTTGCTGTGTCTACGGTACACTGCCAGAAATTAAAACAGGTAAGGCCACAACATCATCGTTAAAACATGTCTTACAGGAATACTCCACCCACAAACTGATCATCTCTATATCAATAACGCACCCCTTGTTACACTGAATTTGTAAAGAAAACTTTTTTGGTCTTGCATTCCTTGACAAGGAATCAAAGTGAAGAACTGATTGCACTGTATGTGTTGTATGAGAGTTTGTAACCTTTATTTTGGTATAGTTTTACTGATGGTAGAAGTGGCCCCCATTTACTTCAATTAATCAAGAACCTTTGCTGTTCTTGGATTCTTCTTTCACTGTAGAGCATGCAAGAAAAACAAATTTTTTGTCACAAATTCAAGGTAACACGGAGTGAGCAATTGATACACGAATGGTCATTTTGTGGGTGAAGTCTTCCTTTAACACCAGACTGTTTTGCTGCCCCTTCTGTTTAAAGGGGCCTGTTTCAGCTCCAACAACACCCAGCTATACTGATGAGTATGGTCAGAGGTGTACCCCTTGCACCTTTAACCACACCTAACAGTGATGTCACAGGATCCTGAAATACACATATACCTGTACATCATTGCAGCAAGGTGAAAAAATAAACCACTAGAGGTCAGTAAATACAAGATTTTCTGGGGGCGGTCATTCACTGTTTGATTTAAAACTTCTGTTCTGTTCTGTAGCAATGCCATCCAGATGTTCCAAGCATTAATCTGTACATGAGATCGATGCTAATGTGCTGTGTTCATCTGCAGTACTCACCCTCAGGTCTGTACTGCGCTACTATGGTAACGGTCTGTCCTGCGTTCTTCAGAGCTGCTGCTGCCTGCTCATGTGTTGCACTGGACAGATCCACACCGTTCACCTACACACAAACACAAACACACACACACAAAACATTAGAGCCCATGCCTTGGATCAATAGTAATAAATGTATAGTGAAATGAGCACGCCATGAAGAACACTGTACATCCTGCTGGGTCAATAACTCACAGGTGACCAGTCATGTAAACTGTGCACATGTGTTGTATGTGTGTACTTTGTGAGGACTTGTTTGATGCATAAAATCGTTCCATGCCAGAGCTTTCATCATAATACACTCAAAGTCAATCTGCAGGGATTATTGGTGCTTCTACAGTCTGAGGACTAAATCCTGTTTGAATCCTGTCTGAAGAAAATTAAAGCCATATTTCACTTTCATCAAACAAAAAGACAGCTGTAACACACACACACACACACACATACACACACACACGCGCGTGCGCACACACGCCATCAGCTCTCGGTGACAACCGACTGGTAATTTGCAAAGAAAATGATACCAGTTCCAGGAAATGTCTCTTTAAATTCAGACTGCTGTGCAAAAGAATGCAAAGATGGTTCAAACTAATCAGCTTCAGCAAAATATTCACAGTTATGCTGAGCTGTATGACTCCACATCAATAATGTACAGAAGAAAATTCAGAAAGTGGAAGCTCTGATGGAGAATAAAGCAACAGGATGACTCCCTTTATAACAGTAATAATGGTAGGATTTGAGCCATTAATAATAATGGTGACAGTACTCGTGTTGTATATCTGTGTGTACTGTCTGTAACAGGCCTTAGCTCGTACCGACAGAATGCGGTCTCCCTTTCGTAGCTCTCCACAGAGATCAGCCGGACCTCCGGCAAGAATGAAGGAGATGAAGATTCCCTCTCCATCCTCCCCTCCAACAATGTTAAAACCAAGACCTGTTGACCCTCGCTGGAGCACCACCCGCCTGGGTTCTCTGAAAGAAACAAAATGAAACACACACACAGTTTTAAGGTAAAAGATGATGGTATACAACTTCTGAATTCAGTTTTATAGGCATCTTAATACGTGATGACATTTGATCAGTTACGACTTTAAATTGCAACCCTTGCTTTTTGCTGTTTAAAGGTAAAGTTTAACTGGTGTTTTGTTGTACCACCTCTTTAACCATGCCCGAATATCCAGTGACAAGGAGAAGAACATATCTATTACAAAGTATCTACAAATGAAAACATTAAAATATTCAGATGTAATTGCAGTTACTGTAGTGTTTATACTCTAATAGTTTCTGAATGTATGTATATGTATGTATAATACCTGCCTTGTTTTAATAAAAGGTATATCTAGATGGAGGGAAAATGTTAAATCTGGATGATTCCCCTAAATGACCAGCAGATGTCAGTATTGCACTGTCCCTGTTTTGTTGCACCGCCACTTGGTTACTCTGTCTTAAATGCAGAATTCTGGTTTAGTTTATAAATGGTTTGATTCTTTGGCAAATCAGCATAACTTGAATATCTTTTGACAGTGGGAGTGAACATGAGCGCATACAGGAAATCCAAGTCAACACAGGTCAAAACAGGCAAATACATACTTAAGACAGAACTGAAAGCAGAGCCATTGTATTGAGAAAAAACCACTGGACCATCATGTCCCTCACTAAATTAAAAACAATCATGTTTAATACAGAAGAAAATCCAAGAATCCAACTGTTGAATAACTCTTAGTCAGTTAAGAGGGTATTTATAAATACTCCATACACTGTTCATATGTGAAATTTGGATTTCCTTCCCCTGAGATTATTCTAACCAGGGATGCACAAATCTGAAACCAGTATCCAGACGTGACAGATCCACATTAAAAACTGGTTCTTTATTATAAAAATTGTGTCAACCCCCTCAGTTAAGTTCATAATGGTGGGCTGGTGACATTAATACCACAGAAATCCCTGGCCTCGTGCTACCTTACACAGAAATGGTTTCAGTGAGTCCAATGCAGTGTGGATCCCTTGATCTATGAAACAAATTATAAATGATACACCTTTCACCTGAAACCTCCTGCTTTGAGAGAAAGCGGATGTTTTGCAATCAGAGTGCGAAAGAGAAAGAGATGAACGAGAGAATACAGGAGCGAAAAGAGAGGAAAAAAGGGGCAGACGTCAAAATGACCATTCTGCTGTTGGTCTGAGGCTTATCAGATTTATTATAATCAAAGCGCACTGACTGGCCCGAAGGGGTATGACGGAATAGTCATATTCTGGTAACCACGGTGACGCCAGTTGAGTGACGAGGGCTGTGATAGGCTGTAATCCGTCCATTAAAATGGATTAAAGACAGTAGAGCAGCTATGAGAGAGTATCTGCATGTGTGTATGTGTGTGTGTGTGTGTGTGTGTGTGTGTGTACATATGTGACCTGAGTTTACACGGCAGACAAAATGTGCGCTGCCATCTGCCCTTTGCAGCCAAACACACACACACTCAAACACATTCACACGCATGCAGCAGCAGAGCAAGCAGTCAGGGACAGAGGTCATTCAGTGTATTTTGGGCTCTGTAGGGATTCTGTTTACCAATCTGGTGATGTGGACCTCTCTGAGGGCCACTGAAGACCTCAGAGGAGGACATGACACAAGCAACAAAGGACAGGGGAAAGAAGAGGATGAAGACATGTCTAACATTTGACCCCATTAACAGCTCAATTTACATTTATTCTTTAGCTAGTAAAGCTAAAAAGCTGCTGCTAAATTTCATATATGTTGATGAAATGGAATTTTCTTTGGTCAACAAACGTTGCAATAAGAAGTGACTGACATGCATGGCATTTCTAAACAAATACTTTTTACTGCAACGGCTGCACAATCATTTCCTCTGGGATATCTAAAATAATTTTATCGATAACATTAACTGATATATGTAGTTTAACCTTACAAATTTGGTTATCTTTGGAAACCCTTGGTGGAATTTGAAAAATAATTTCACAGTGAATGTATATGTGGTTGTGCAGCATGTTTAATTTGGTCTCACTGGTCATTAAGGGAAAGATTTTACAGAATAATGTCTCTGGTCTAAATCAGAGACTGTACAGTCCAGTAAGTGTGCATATTTGTGTGTGAGGTCTCACCTGGGGATGTCATCGTCTCCAGTCATGGCCCTGGGCAGAGGTGAGTATCTGGGTGTGGTCAGAGGGGCGGGGCTTACAGACTGGCTGCCGCTCATGTAGGGGCTTATATGGTTGTCTTGATGTGGGGAGTACGCTAGAGGAAAAAACAAAACCGATTTCCTTAATTTAACATGCTGTCATACATAAAACAGAACTTCACAGATGTCTTTTTAAAGGTTATGTGTACTTTAATGTACTCTCTTTATCATACAAAACACTGTCATCCGATTAAGCAGTGCATTTCCACTCTGACTTTTATTGTCTAATCAATCACAGCCTGATCGACTTAAGTCAATTAGTCCAAACTGTTGATGTACTGTTTATAATTAGATGTACTGCAGATATGTTGAGAGCTGGTGGTGTGATATATGCTGTTTGGCAATGTGTTAGATTCAAAGCGGTGATAAATGACATGTTGTTTGATAATATGCTGATTTGGAGAGGTGACAAGTGGCTGTAATCCAGTGGGCCAAATTTACCCAGTCTGATTATCAGACTGTTATATAACACATTTAAAGCCGTCTGGTTGATGTCAGCAGTATATCTTTTAAACCAAAACATATAATGTTCCAAATCAACTTCAATTGGTTTGAAAACACTGGAGGCATTTGGGGTTATCATAATGGACACAGTGTGAGCACCATTATGATCAGCGTCACCCAGTAGATTATTTATTTACTTGTTATTTTTTTCACATATTTAAAGGAGACCTATTATGCTAATTTTCAGGCTCATACATGTATTTTGGGTTTCTACTAGAACACGTTTACACACTTTTATGTTTGAAACACTTTAATTTCCTCATACTGTCAGTGTTGAAACACCTGTAGTCACCCTCTGTCTGAGACGCTCATACAGAGCGCCTGTCTCTTTTAGCCCCCCTTTGAGCCCAGTCTGCTTTGACTAGTTAGCATTTCTAGGTCCTCCACATCTTGGCATCTCTCCGACATCTGTAACGTAGTATAGCAGCACTTCATACTGTTAAAAATCAGCAATAAAAGCTACTAAATATAACCAGACATGTTCCAGCAAGAATATGATCCAGCACTGGGGAGGAACAAACAACATCTGTAACCATGTTTACATTTTACTCTTTACTTTGGCCACATTAACCTCTCTAACTCTGCCAGGACGCCCATGTCCTCGCTCCCCTCCTCCTCTGTTAAATGGTATCTCCCAGGCGCACTACGTCATCAAACCATGTGATGATTGGTATTGCCGGATTCAGGAAGCTCTCGACTTTTCAAAAATAACATTGTTTTTCTTTTATTTATTATGTTTTCGCACCAGAGCAGCCTACACACACATAGTCCAAAATTGCAATGAGTGGTGACAAGTCATGTCATGCCGTTTTTTGACGGGAAAAGTTAGAGGATTACTCACAATCTTATGACTTCAGAGGCCCATTACTCTGTCTCTGTATCACCTAGAGTGTGTCTGACACTTTCACAAGAAACTTCAGAGAGTTTTCTTTCTGGCAAGACCTCATGCATGCATGTAGTCAGAGCGGTTCAGAAGCTACAGTCATTTTAAATTGGGTATGTCATTTTAGGCGTTTTTGCTGCAAAATGGGGGTGGAGTGCAAGATTAATATGAACACCTGACATTGTAATATCATATATATGACAGAAAACAAGGAACAGTCTAATAGATCCCCTTTAAGGTATCATTATAAACTCTTCTACTGGGTTCACAACATTTCAGTTCAAACTCTTTCAGGTAACATGAGGGCTGTCATGTTTATAGGGTTTTTATGGCTCTATACTATGAGAACATACACAACAGTTCCCTGTGGTATTCAGCTCTAATGTGGAAATGTATGGCATTAAAATCTATTAGCTAGTACACTGAGAGAAATGAATGCATTTAAGATAAGGACTGCACAGGAGTGATGCCCCAGAAATTTTTCATAAGGATGGCCAGATAGAGCCATTGAAAATCTTGGGGTGGCACACCAAAATCAAAAGCCATAACTGAATTTCAGGACTCTCACTGCAATGCTTATGCCGTCAAACAATAATATTCTGACACAGTTTGAGTTGAGCTTTGTGATGTTTACCCCCGATTCAACCATGACTGGGCTGCTCCTCAGCCATGAGGCCTCCACACTGACAGCAACGCAGTAATCTGAAAGCAAAGCTAATTATGAAAAACACTCTGTTCTCCTTTACTTGTACCTCAACTTTCCCATTCCTAGTCTTGCTACTTTCTCTCACACATCTATGATATATAGTGTCATAAGTCACATAAATATGTATTTGTTAATATACACCAGCTCCTGAATATGTTGCCTTGATTAGTTGCTTGTAATGATGGTGTTCAGGGAATTCGAGCTTACTGTGGTGTTGCATTTCTAGTAAGAGTCTCTGCAAAAAGCCTAACAGCAGATGGGTGCTTTCTTATAAACCCACCCAAAAGCAAAAATCTCCACCAACAGCTTTGTTCCTCGCTGTTCTTTATAGTTCAACACCATCTGGCCTTAAAATGCTTGAGCCTCTTGGCTGCAATGATGTTTGTTACATTCACCAGAGCGCTGTCTCACTGCAAGTTGAGTCTGATGTTGTGAGTAAAAGTCTACACAGCCTGAAAGATGCTGGATCCCTCAAAACCACGTTATGAAAGAAACCACTGTTGCATTATCAGTACGTCTTGTACTGAGAGGTGTGTGTGCACTCACAATTAGTGACGTCGGGGGGAGGGAAGTTGTCATTGATAAAAAGGGAGGTGTGTTTGGCCACGCGGAGGTAAACAACGTCAGGAGTGGACTTCAGGGCAGCCACTGCTTCCTCATGAGTCACCTCCTCCAAACAGGAGGCGTTTACCTGGAGACATATGAAGACACATAATGCAAATTATTACCATATACAAGCATGCATTAACACACAGACAGCATGTAGACAACTTTAGATCTATACTAGACTGCAGCAAAACCATAGTGTGGAAGCTATCATACAGTTTCCATGGACCGGATACGCATCTTAAAATACACGGCTGGATGTTAACTTAATAGAGAGGAAGCAGCTTTAATTATGTTGCATTTATTTTTATGCTGAGCGGGTCTGCTGCCGTGTTAAATCAACCTTAAGAGGCTTGGAAGTAGAGCAGAAGAGTAACAATCTGATAAAATCACACTTGTGTTCACTGTCCTTCTCTAATACATCTAATGTAGTCTCAGATTACACATAACATACCCAGCAGGTAATATGTAACAATCTAATAAAGAAGGGTAATGGAGATGAAGAGCCTTATTTTTGCTTAAATCAGTTCCTATATCAATGGCATGTAAATTCAATTAAAGCAGTGCGTAGCATGCAGTATTTGGTATTTAATTACATGTGTGGAACTAATTAACTTGAAATAATATTCTAATCTGAAAGTTGTTGCAAATGTCTTCTATATTGTGCTTCATTTAAATAACTTTTAAAGAGACAGTTCACCCCCAAACTAAGAATATATTTTTCTCTTAGCTGTAGTGCTTTTAATCAGTCTAGATTGTTTTGGTGTGAGTTACCGAGTGTTGCAATTTGATATAAGCACTACAGGGAAGAGGAAAAATAAGTATTCTTGACATCTAGGTGAACTGTGTCTTTAAATTAGAAATCAAATCATGTCAATGAGTGAACTAATAAAACCTTGCTTTGATACTGACTGCAATCTACAGTTTGAACCAGACTCTACATTTGCATGAAAATAAGTGCAGAAAACACACAAGGTTACTTACAGCCACAAGTTTGTCCCCTATCTGTAGCCGTCCGTCTTTGTGTGCAGCCCCTCCCTCGATGATCTTAGTCACGTAGATACTGTTGTCGCCTGGGACATGTTGGTTTCCGACTCCACCTGCTATACTGAATCCTAAACCTGAGAGAAAGCATAAACAGGTCATATTGTTAGAAGTGATTTCTGGGTTTCCTGAGATAATTTGCTGCAGTGCTTCATTTTCTCACCCTTGGGCTATATATGGTAGTTATAGTAAACCAAAGCAAAAATCAAATTAGGCAAGTCATACCCTGTCATATATTTCATATTCTGTAGCTTTAATTGCTCTATTGTTCTTTTCCTTCCCCTGCTCAATCATATTACTGTATCTTGGCTGCTGAAACGTTCTGACATCTCAGCAGAAATCAGAAAATGGTGCCTCATTATTGTTTCTCACTTATGTGCACCGGTTGATGTCTTTATAGCACTGTTTCTTCATCGTGCAGTCATAAATTAGTTGGCAAGGAGAAGCATGTCAAATTCCTCAAACATCATCACATTTCAAATCCAGTGAGCTGGGGTAAAGTCAAAACAATAGCAACATGTCTGTGTTTTACTACTTACAGACTCCACTGCATTTTATATGTTGTATTTTCTCACCTTTGGGCCCTTTGACCAGCTTGATATCCATGATTCTCTCGGTGAGGCTCCTCCTGCGTCGTATACATAGTCGCACCAAACCTCCTGCCTCCTTTAGCGCCTCCACAGCCCCGCTGTGGGTCACGTCCCTGACGTCTGTCTCATTTACACGGACTATACAGTCATTCACCCTGCAAAGTCACATGCAGTAAAGATGTCATTTGACTTGAAGTAAGGAGTTCGTAGTGAAGACAAACAATACACATCACATGAATCTGGTGCCTGTGCATGAGGAGCTCATAGCCTCTGATACAAGGGCTCAGGGGCACCTCAGCAAAACTATATTTAATTTTCCTTCTAAATATTTTGAAATGTGAAGATACTCTCCACAAAGTACACTTTCAAAATGTTGACTTATTTTGTTGGGTTGCATGTGTATGTTTGTCTGCACTGCCCTGTAACTTTAATAATGTAGTGTATTCATGTTACTTGGTTGATCATAGTGTACAACATTTTTGATATATTTTGAATACATCAAAAAGTGTGCAGCTTTAAAAATGACTTGATGAATACCGATCCAATTTGCACTGACAGATTTTGCTAATATATATGATCAAATGTTGTGTGTGTTGTGTAATGTGACAAAAATAAGCTATAATCAGTAAAGCTGCGTCTGTATTGTGAAGACAAAATCTGTTCACAGTGCAACTGTGAGGATTTGTCTGCCATCTGGCGACAAAAAGCTGGTCCCAATGAGGTTAAACATTTTATTTACGATTGAAGTCTTAAGATTTTGGTTCAGACTAGAATTACAATTAGGTTAGGCTATGTGCATGTGTGTACCTGAGTCGTCCATTCTGGGCTGCGGCCCCTCCAGGTATAATCTTGGTGATGAAGATAGAAGGGTCTTCTCCAATGTGAGGGTTATCAGTCCCTCCTGCGATACTGAACCCCAGACCTGAGTTACCCTATTCATGCACACAAACACAAACATAAAAAACATTTGAACAAACATTGGTTTTAAAAGTTTATTTCTGGTGCTCGACGCTTTGATTATCTATGATAAATGACAGATAATATTGTTAGACTGATGTCTCTGACCTGCCATGAAATCATTATCTCTCCATCCAGACCTGATAGATTTAAAAAATATATATAATAGTGCTTTTTAAAGATGCCTTTATGTAATAAATAATTACAATGGAAATGTCATGCAGACACATTAGATTATATAAGAAGTAGATAACCACACTGGAATATTTCTTCCAGTTGCGAAATCACCAAGAAGCATCTCTTTAATAATATCTTATCTAAATGTCTTTCATTGCAAAACTACATCTGTTATCTCCCCATTTCCACTTCCTACCACACTGTTTCATCACCTGAACAAATAATATGTAATACAGCTGTCGCTTATTACCAATTTACATATAATAGATCTCCTCTGTCATTTGAAGACATTACCTGATGACAGCCTTTACTCTGTGTATGTTTCAGTCACTCTCTCATGCTTTGTCACTGGGTTTAAAGCCAGAGTAATGTCTGTGCCTGTGTTTGCGTGTATGTCCATAGTGTCTTTAAAGCAGATCCAGTCAAGCAGACAGAACCAGGTCACAGGAGAATAGAGAGGGAGACGGAGAGAGAGCCTCAGGGTGAGAGAAAAGGAGAATATAATGAGAGAGGGAAAATGAGGATCAGGAAAAGAAAGTAGGGAAGGATGGACGAGGAATTGAGAGGATGGGGAAATAGGGTCAGCAGAGCCACAGCACCGGTGGGACTACAGGAAAAGCAAAATGATGAAATGAAGGAGAGGAGAGAGATAAATGAGCAGAAGGCTGACCTGCAGCAGATGATGGGCATCTTTCTCTTTTTAAAACACATCTTTTTTATGCTTTGGATTCCAAAGATATATTTTCCCTGTAGTTAATAAACAAGCCACGAAAACAACAGGTTTTTTCAAATTCTCTAATGATTGTTTTTAAAATCAGTGAACATAAGAGGATCAAGAAGTAGTTTTTCGACAGTGGTGGAAGAGACACTCATCAACATTTAAAAGTGGATAAATATAAAGGACAACAGAATGCAATCAGATTTTCTTTGAAACTTTGTCTCCAAAGAGAAGATTTTCATTTTGAGCTTATTTCAGTCGAAAATCGTTATTTTCAGAGAAAGTAGAAATTATACAGTCTAAAAATGCTCCATTACAGGTACAAGTCCTGAATTATTATTTTTTAAAGTGCATAAGTATTATCAGCAAAACGTACTTTAAGTATCAAAAGTTAAAGTATTCATTATGCAAGAATAGAATAGAATATGAAATCATTCTGTTTTTATTACTAAAAAATACATGTGAGAGCATTTTTAATGTTGTAGTTCATCATGTGGAGCCAATTTCACATCCTTGGTATGCTACTGGAAAAGGACAATATCATAAACATATCATATGAATTTTTATGTAAAAAGAGTAAAAAGTATATCATTTCCCTCTAAAATGTAGCTGGGTTAAAGTTTAAGAATGGAAAAATAAAAATAACTTTTTTGTCATGTTTACTAGAACTATCATTATATCCACGAGCAGTAACAAATGAGACAGATAATCTGTGGACAAAAAATACATGTCCCTCCACCTTCTTCTACTGCCACTAATGGCATTCCACAGTGGCCAGACAAAAACAACCAATCAGAGCCGAGAAGTCTCTAACGCACCTGTTATCATGTCAATCACTGCTGTCAAACTGTCAAACTAGGCAGTGCAGATTAAAGACTATGTTAAAATGTTTTCAGAAACATGTTTTAGTGTACTGTTTAGCTGTAAAATACAAAAGTTGCTCTGGCCGGGGGATGGTGCTTTGTTTTGGCTTGACTGTTTTTAGCATGGCCACCCAGTCACAAACTTCACGTTACAGCTAAACACTACACTAAAATATGTTCCTGAAAAAATTTGAGGCAATACAGTAACAGAATCTGGATTCATATTCATCAGCGCTGTCTAGTTTGACAGTTTGACTGCAGTTCATGAGAAGTAACTGACATGATTCAGAGCTGTGTTAGAGACTCCTTTGCTCTGATTGGTTGTTTTTGTTCAGGTACGGTAAGGCTAATAGAAACGCTATGAGGAGGCAAAAGAACATGATTTTTTGTTTTACACAGACTTTCTGTCTAATGTACTGCTGTGTGAATATAGTGACAGTTATAGGAAATATAACAAAATGTTATTTTTCATAAAAGTTACCAATTCAAGGTTTAAGTAAAAAAAAAAACTTTTAAGGAAAAATGTTTTAAAGAAACTATGTTTCCCTTAAAACACCCCATTGTTATTTAACTTACTTCAATGTAATACTGCTCATGATTGTATATCCTTAATTTACTTTTAAGATGTTTCGCAGCCTAAAATGGTGGTGAAATACAGCACTTTGGTCAACTTTAAATGAGCTTTATAAATAAACTACACATTTTTTTAAGTATGCTACACAACAACACACAACAACTGTTAATTACAACCTTTAAGATGATTTTTTGAAACTCTTTTTCAAATGTTGTTTTATGATAATTGATGGAGAACATTTACAAAGTAATATCATGCTTTGCAAGATGTTGCATTGCTGATATATATTGGTTAACTTGATACATTTAACATTGGTCATAGCTGCCAAAATGATCTTGAGCTCTTGCTTTAGTTGGTCTTACGATACTTTAATTGTATGTTCTCTCAAGTAACATGTTTTTGTTGACATAGTCAAACCTCAGTCAAATCTATACAAAGGCCTGTTTCAAAATGCTACATGCTAATAGCTTTCTCAACTTGTTATGGTTGCTAAGAAGAAATACTTTTAGTCTTTTCACACCTCCTCAGCCTTTGATTACATGATTTTGTCTCAGTTCTGTTTCTCCTCGTTTAAACGGACATGTTCTCATAATAATCACTGATGACATCAGTGGTGGTTTGATGTGACTGATTACATTTACAATGTGTAAGACAAGCATGCATGTTGGAGGTGAGCTTTTACCCGCTCCAGCGTGATTTCCTCATACTCATAGTCTGCTTCTGTTCCATTGACCTGTCAGAGAGGAAGAGGAAGAAAAGAGAAGTGTGTCAATAAAGAGTAAATACTGAGAGCTGTTTTCTTGCAACGGACACTAAAATGCTCATTAGATTTTACAGTGAGGCTTTTAACATTCATAATTTATGTGCAGTATTTTTCTCTGTGTCGGTTGCTATTGGGTGGTACATCATGCTGTCATGTTGCATTCAAGCTTCATGTTTATCACAGCTTTATCGCACTTCTCACTGTTTCTGCTCTACATGCATGCATATTGAATGTTCTGTGCCATCTCTGAGGACATGTTGGCATTCAGGAGATGAAGATTCTTCCTTTCCAATTTTGAAACAAAATGTGAGCTGATTATTGTCAAGTAATGGAATATGCAACAAATTTCAGAATTGCAGAAAAGCAAAATCAGACATTTGATCATTTGTGACTGACGCATGAATCTGAGAGATTAAACTGCGCACTTAATGATGATGTACCTCTGATGTCATATTTAAGAACATCCCCACTGAATTACCCGTGAGCCAATCACACTGCTCAGCCAGGGCTGCCTGCACTATAAAACATATTAACATCTAGATTTCCTGACTGACGAACAGCACACAGAACTAAATCTGATTTCTGAGCGGACTATTATACATTTTATGTTCCACTCAATTTATACTGGGAGATGAGAGTTTTGTTCCTGCTATAGCTGCTGCAGGCAGGCAGGCAGGCAGGCAGGCACACGCACACACATGCACACAGTGGTCGAGTGGCATCCCAGTGGCCCATGTAATCCCCTTGGCTGTAATCTGTGTCTCTGTGCAGTCAGATTAGTTTAGATTTTGAATTTCTGTCGTTTCAAACAGAGGGTAAAATCTCCCACCAGCTACTGTGTGCTGTGTGTCTGTTATCACTTTCCACACACTGAGTATATATCCAGACTGGATGAGCACCTGATTAAAGACCACAGGAATCTACTACGTACATAAAACTTTGGATTATTAAGGAAAATTTGAGGACAATAACAAGATACTGCCATTCTTAAAGCTGGATGTTCCAATCCTAGTAAAAAAAAAACAAAAAAAAAAACAGCAAGCAGAGTTAATAATTTACTTACTTTGTAGTTATTTTATCATTTAAATAAAGCATGATGTGATCAACAGATTATCACAATTACAGCCCATACGTCCTATAGGAAATGGCCCTGTGTATTTAAATTTATTTTCCTATCTCAAAAAAGGCTCAACATACCACCTTTGCCTCATTTTCAGCAACAACAACAAAACATAGCATGTTTCTCATGAGCAACAAAACTAAATTGAGTTTTCTGTGTATGTTAAATGCATTAATCACAAATCAACAGTCAAAAATCATATCAGTGACATATTAAGAGAAATCTGCAAGAGATAAATCATTTTCTCTCTCTCTCTCTCTGTTATATTCCAGGAAGTTCGGCAGGGAGTAATTCTACAGTAATTACATAATAAACTTATCTAACAACAACAGACACTGATTCTCTGTGGCAGCTGGCTACCAGTAAAATGACATCTGGATCCATCTAATTCTGGACTGAGCTTTGTGTCTAAATCCAGGATGCAGCTCTCACTATTGTGCATTTTTATAACAGAGTAATATTGAAAATGTTTAAATATTAGAAGCTTTAAACTGTAAAATAACCCTTTATATGACTTTTTTTGCCTGTCTCTCTTTTTTTTAAATAGACAAAATTATTTTAAAATTAGTTTGTTTGTTTCGTTAAGTTACACAATGCTTGTAGAAACTACTAGCATTTGTACAAGATTAGAAATACAATTATGCATGTCTTGCACGAGTAGAAAAACAGAGACAACACTGCAGGTTAATAATAGCTTCTGTATCGAGGTGTTGCGTATCACGCTGAGGCTTGATAAGTATTTAGGAGCACATTGTAGCCACCACAATGCCTTCACAGAGCAGTGGAAATCAACTTTACAGCCATTGACTGCTATTTACTGTAAGGTACATCACCTCACAGTACAAAAGTTGCTGCAAAGAAAATCTCTGCTTTATGTTACATAATCTACAAACACCTATACTATGAGCATGTGACCAGCTCTAGACACAGGTCAAAAATCAGAGGTCAATGGTCACAAACACAACCACTGATAAATAATTTAATCTTAAATCTAATGAAATGCTGTACTGGTAATTTAACCTATTTGCTTTTTCTTAGGAAAATGTTTAAAGAAGACTTAAAGGGTAACTTCTGTATTTTTCAAATTGTTTGCCATGTTTTTGTGTTTAAGTCACCAGTAGTTTTGCAACCAGCCTGGTATTGTCTGAGAGGGCTGAAGCTGGCAGCCAGTAAAACAGGCTGCAAAGTAACCACTCTGGGCATGTTTGCATCGTCAGTTTATGTCCATTGAAAGTGCCTGTTTTTTGGGGATTTTTTTTGCCACTGACAGACTCAGATTATTATTCTAAGTGTCTGACAACATTAAGGAATTATTCAACATTATTATGGAAAGGATCTGTATTGAGACAGATGTTTTTGTTAAAGAGTTAGATCATTTTTGTTTAAGCAAAAACAGCCTTGAAATAGCTACTGCCAAACCTGCCAGACTCCATTTAAATAAGCAGCAATTTTAGTATGTATAAAGCCAGCATATATCTAAATGGGTGAATTAAGAGTTTATTTCAACCAAACAAGAGTCAGTGATTGCTGAAACAGTGGAGAGATTAACCAAACTGGCTTTTGTGAGGTTTGTAAAGTTTCTGTTGACTTTAAATGAAGTGTGTTTAACAATGATAAAGTGACTATTTATTTAAATGGAGTCTGTTTTGTGGCTGCTGGCTGCAGTGGTCTCACTCAGTACTGGACCAATTTCAAAATTTGTGTTCACATTAGTCACTTAAACACAAAAACATGAAAAAAAGGTCCAGGTTGAAAAATATCAAAGTAACCGTTTATAGACTAAAACTGTATGAAATCCAGAATTGGCTCAGACGTTAAAGTATCAGCAGGTTTCAACATACACATTTGGGTGAAGGTTTGAATTTCACTAACAATATATCTGATCCAGTACTCACATATGGGGGGGTGTCGACGCTGTCGGTGTTGACCACCACTGGAGGGGGGTTGGCCTGCAAGAGAGAACAGCAAAGTAATACTTTTATTTTAACAGATATTATCACAAAAACCAAAGACATACAGTATTTAACCAAGACGACGGTCACTATGAAACTTAAGAAACACACAAACACACAGAGACCCGTGAGACCACTAAAGACTTACTCGTCTCATGTTTTGGTACAGCATGTTGAGTACATCTGCTACAGATTACCACCACGTTGCGACAGCATACACCGCATGACATACTGCACAGCCCTGATATTGGACAATACTAAAGTACTACACTGCAAACCGCACTGTAACGTAACAGACTGTTTCATAAAGCTCTGTTACTGCACTGAGTACTATATCCTGTACTTTAATGTTAGATTGTACTCTCACAGCCTGTATGATATCATGCTCTACGACTCTGCATGTCAAACACATTCCTAAATTAAATCAACATCCCAGATCCATCTAATTTTATAAATCCAACATTTGCAATCTCCCTTTCTCTCCCATGTGCTGCCTCCTCTCTACCAAAAGTGTCTCCTCCTTCCTGCTCTGCCTCCCCCTTCTCCCCAAAGTGATTCTTCTCTGAGCTCAATCTCCTCTTTCTCCCCAGCCTCTTTTTAGAGTCCAGGCCTGGACAGATCAGGGTTAAAGCAGCAGCAGCAGCAGATAATTGACATTATCTTTCCTCTTGCCTCCTACGCAAACACAGAAAATGACAAACCTCACACTACCTAATAAATAGCCACAAGGTGTCTTTTTCTCCTTGTATTTGCAAGGTGAGCACCAGCCTCCATCTTATCATTCCACCCTTTTCTGCCACCTATCTCCACTTTTTCCCTCGTCTCCTCTCACTTTCTCCCCAGAGAGTGTTTAGTGCTCGCCAGTCCAGCGCCTGCAGCTCTAGTCGTCTCCAGCAAACAAGCAATGAGCAAGCCAGTCCATGTAAGATAATCTGACCAGCCAAAAAAAGTTCACAAACAAACCGGCTAACCAAACATCAAACAAGCTAGCCAACCAAATGGACAGTGCACCCGGACTTCACTTCACTGCATCAATGTGCAACAGAGCAGCAATAGCATCTATCCCTCTACACTAATCTCCACCTCACTCATCCCCCCCCTTTTCCACTCCTTTATCTTCTCTGTCTCTGTCACACACACACACGTGTATTATCTCACTCCATCTCTCTCTCTCTCTCCACCACATGTCAAACTGTCTGTCAGTCAAGCTGACAGGATGCTTGATCCCACACGGGAACAGAAAGAGAAAGAGAGAGAAAGAGGGGGGATCAGAGGGATTACACAGTACGTATGGTGGGAGGAGTCAAATCTGCCTGCTAAACAACAGCAATGAGGAGCAGAGGGTGTAGACAGATGTACACAAACCCCCCAAACCACACACATGCAAAAACAAAAAAAGAAGAAAAATGAATGGTGGAACAACAGAAGTGAAAGGAGAGTGAAAGAGGGAGGAGAAAGGTGTGGTGGAGGGGTGGTACAGTAGAGTTCATGGCTAGTGAGGCAGACAGGGAGGGTTGTGCTGACAGTTGCAGCTGTTAGGATCTGTGCATGTGTGTGTTGGCGTGAATGGGAGAAAGACAGAGCTTGTGATGAAAGAAGTATTCATATTTTTTACTCTTTCCTCAAGTCCTTCATTTAAATGTTGCTTTAATAAAAGTATAGAAGTGCTTTTACTTCAACAAGGTGTAGTTAAACTTATAAAAAGTAAAAGCAGCAGAATGGTCATGTCAGTGTTACGTTATTACATATTATTGGATAATTTTTTATTGATGCATAAACTCTAAGAAGCACAGTCCAGGTACTGACCAGTTTAATGTATCATATTTTATAAAGTTATTAAATAATTTATGCGTAAAATCTAGATCTAGAATCTGAAAAGTTACTGGTAACTACAGCCATCAAATACATTTGTAGTGTAGTGGAGAAGAAAATGGAAAAACTGAAGTACCTAAAAACTGCAATCTAGTACAGTACTTGAGTAAATGTACCACTTACTACAGAGTGATACTGCAGATAACTGTGGCACTTGCTTTCATAATTGTAGGAAATATCAAAGATGAAATAAAAACAAGTCATCCAAAAATCGATTTGAAAGCCATGTTTCAAAAAAAGTCACATCAGGATTAGAGTTGTACCGATACCGATACCAGTAGCAGAAATTCCTCCAATACTGCCTAAAATGCGGTATCGGGTATCAGCGAGTACAGCCTATGACCAATCCGATACCACGTAATGCCTCACGTCATTACGCATACGCACGCTACAGGCAAACGAAACGGAAACGGAGCGGAGTTTAAAAAGCTTCTACTGTAGCCTTTAAAATGTCTCTTTTACCAAATTGTGTGGCTGCACTTTAACTTGTGTCTTGATCTGTGTCAACACTGGATAATAATAATAAAAAAAAGTTTTATAGCATTCATTCTACTATTATGTATTCATTTCTTAATATTTTACATAGAGTTTTAGGAGTTGAGACGTACAACAATTCATATCCCATCCATTTTTATTTTACGGGCTGGTATCGGATCGGTACTCGGTATCGGCAGATACCTGAGGTTTAGGGATCGGAATCGGTATCGGGAAAGAAAAAGTGGTATCGGTACATCTCTAATCAGGATCTACCAATACCACAAGGAGTCCCTGATCACAATCTAGTCAAGAGACGATTGAAGATTGATGATGCGTAACATATAATTTCTGTAACACATTTTTTTCTAACTTGTATCTAAATGTTTCTTTTTCTTATGTACTAGATACTTTAACCACTTCAGGCTTCAGAACTTTCTTCAAATGAAACAACCAGAGATGGAAGAAATCACAGCTCACAACTAATGCTCACAGTAAAGCCATTACCTGCAGCGTGACAAGTAGACACCAATTTATTTGCAAGTATTTTGATGAGCTATATCAAATCATATTGACAAAAATAATCGGTCATTTTGTTGCTAGATATTTGGCCAATCTTAAGGTAAGGTAAACAAGAGTGACTGTACCAAACACCATGCATTCATCATTCTGTAAAGCCTCTAAAACTTTTTCCTCAGTTGTAGAAAAACTAAAGGTATCCTATAAAAAATGATAATGCTTCATCTGACTGCAGAGTCATCTCAGCTGATGTTACAAGATGCCTTCATACTAACTGAACCCAAAGAATGACCTGCCTAGAGTTAACTTGTCTGTCACTAACAGTCTGTTGCCTCGTCTAAACTTTACCTAACCCGTCCACTGTTGTAACACCAGCATTCTACAAATCACACAACCTCTGTGTGTGTGTGTGTGTGTGTGTGTGTCTTTGTCTGTGTGTGTGTCATTCACGGAGCGACAAATCCAGTCGGTCTGTAAGCTTGTGATTCCATTGACACGCCATGTCAGACTGCACGCTTATGTAACATCAATATGGGTGTGTGAGTGTGTGTGTGTTTGGATGTGTTACATGAAAAGGCCAAAAGAACAAATGTGCAAATATAAACAAACAAGCACTCGCACACAAAAAAACACACACACACACAACATCCATATCCAGACAGTGTTTTTGCTGCTCTATGCAAGTGATTGTTCGTTGTTACATAACCCCTGTTACACCAGCTGTGTTCTTGCCTGGTTCAGTCCGGCACAGCCCAGCTTAGAAAGAGATCCAGACTATCCCTGGTTTGCCTCATCGGGCAACGAGACAGACACGTGCTTTCAACAGATTTCTTATGCTTTGCAGGATGGTTAAGAATGTTTGAGTAGGTGTGTGTGTGTGTGTGTGTGTGTGCTGGGTTCAGCTTCTACAGTCATCATCATAACAATTCAATTATCAATTAGCAGATGAATCATAACTGGATAAACGGATATCAAGAATCCCAAAATATCTAAATGATGCACAGCAGTAGGTTGTTAAATAATCAATCAGTGCAATGTGCCAGTTAATACCATGCACACACTACATTCATGCAAAAGCATGCAGACACACAAGGGATATTCACAAGCCAAAGTGGGAAAAATGATGGGTGTGTGCAACATCTAAAGCTTTAATACAAAGCTTTGTTTCTCTAACATCTGATCTGACTTAGTCAAACTCTCTGCTCCTTTAGATTTCATTTCATTCACACGGAGAAGCCTGTATCGAGAGACAAAGACTGCTGCACACATTCATTCATACAAATACTCCACTTCTAATATTGCTGTCCACTCTGTCTTCCTAATGTGCAATGAAACCCCATTTGACTAATGAGTTAATCAGATGGAGCGCAACTCTAATCAAATCAGAACGGCCACGCTAATCATGCTAATCAGACTATCACTACCTGCTATCTGTGATCACTGTGCCCAGAGCAGACATTCAGCACAATAACTAACCGGCCAACAGCTAATAACAAGCAGCTGACATGCTGGATTATTAGCTCACTATAGTACAGTTTAAACAATACACACCTCCTGTCCTCTAATTTTGTAGAGTTAATTTGATAAACCTTTCGTTAGCCACAATTTGCTTGGTCTAGTTTTCTACATTTCTCAAAATTACTTTCAGCAACCCTCAGAGAAAACCTGAGTCACAACCTGCATAAATGTAATGCAATTCTGTACACAACTCAGGGTGCAGCTTTATGTTCACAACAAAACTGAAGCACTTCAGGCTGTCAGTACGTCACTTAAAAGAGCAGTTAGGCAAATAGGTAATGGTAATAAAAAGCAATAAGAACACTTAGAGTTTGCTTACAGCAGACAATATACTATGTAGACATCTCACATGGTGATATTGTGTGTTTGATGGAGACATTTCATTCTTTACTCCTTCATTCTGTGTAATAAATCTTGACAAGTATTGATTCCAGGAGTACTCTGAACAGTAATGGAACGTGGAATCAATCTGGCTACATAACGCGTGTTATGTTTCTCGGTGCAGCTTTATTCTTTCCATTTTCTTTTGGAATTGAAGTTCTCGACAAACGTTATAGTACAAGACAAATTATCCCAAAAAAAAAAAAAACTTGAAAAATTGCTGCACGTCTAGT